ATTTATCAGCATAAAACTTTTTATTGTATTTTTATATCCTTTCTGTTATATCATTGAATACTGACAATGTTTACAATAATTGTAAAGTTCATTTTTATCCATATAGTGTGTGTCTATGTATGTGTATACCATGTGTCTGGGGAGGTCTGTGAAGGCCAGAGGAAGTTCTTGAATCTACCTAGAGCTGGAGTTACAGGGACTTATGAGTTGAGGGATATGGATGCAGGAAACCTAATTCAGGTCTTGGAAGAACAGCATGTACTCTTAACTGCTGAGTCATCTCAACAGTCCCTACAATAACAAATTTTTATCTGAATACAGTTTTTAATGTTTTTCAAATGTGTGATCGAAAAGTTTCTGCACCTCAATAAGCATCTCCACTGATCCAATAATCCAAATCAGACCAAATCAAACTGAGTTAGAAAAAAATCCCAGGTTTAATGGATACCTAAGCCAGCTGTCCCTATTACCCATCTGCCTTGTGGCAACAAGGGCAAGGGAGAAGTGCCCCCTCCACCCATCAATGTCAGAGGCAGGTGGGAGAGATGGCTCTGTGGTCACAAGAGTGGGACAGCCATTCCTGACCCCAACCAGTTACAGCACTTAGGGTAATAGGTCCTGTACCTCACCAGGGAAACACAATAGAGTCAACATGGTTAGCTCAGATGGGGGTGAGCTAGCCCTGAAATTGTGACCCTGGGAGAGATGTCCCAATCTCCCATCTGGCAGACTGAGCTTATATCTGTCCAGGCCCAGACCCAGGGTTACGACTTGACTGGCCCAAACATCCACTCCACGTATGGTCTGTTGGAGCACGTGAAGGGACCTGACCTGCAGACCCAAAGCTGCATAACACAGGACACCAGTGAAATACCCAGGAAGAGTCCTGGTGGAGGCCCGGCATCTAAAGTATAGTGGAGAACAGAGGCCTCGAACCAGATCAATGACTCTTTGCAATGAAGACTTGCAAACAGAGATGTATAAACTAATGGTTATACAGTGTGACTTATTGAGCCACATTGCAGCTTTCATGACACAATTTTTAATTCCTTCCCTACTTTTACTCATTTTGTTTTCTTCATTTTTTTTATCTTGATTTTTTTTTAATTCAGCGGGGAGGGCAGGGGTAAAGGACAGAAGTGATGGAACAGGAAATGAATGGGATCAAAAGTACGTGATGTGAAAAACTCATAGATTAAATACATTTTATATTTAAAAATGTGGGCCTGTTGTTACCTAACTGTAATTCCATCGCTGGGGATGGAGACAGAGACAGGCAGATCCCAGCGGCTTCCTAAATGATCACTGTAGCTGAAACAGGAAGCCCCGCATTCCATGATGGGAATCATTTTAAAGAAGGTGAAGAGCTTCAGAGAGGACACCCAACCTCCACCTTTGGCTTCGTCATGTACACACTTGGATGAGCACACACTTGGACACACACATACATATGCATCATATACAAATCCTACCATGCTTAGCAAGAGTAAATTCAAAAGAAAATTTAGTATAGTAATGACAAAACTCATAATATCAGATATATTCATGACCAGCTAAAATTAGATACTTTTTGAAAATCTTAAAAATAAGACTTTGAAACTCTGAGTTTTTCTCTGTGTGCTGGAAATGATATTAAGATCCAACATTACTTCTTCAATGATCCTACACTTTTCATATAACTAGACAGAAACTGTTGTTGGCTCCAAGTTCTCCCAGCCTAAAAGTCACTGGAAGTAGAGTGGCAGTGAGATGCATTAGGATGGAGACAGCTTATGTTTGATCTAACACAAAGTATATAACCTGATCATAGTGAGGAATAACAACCATATTGGCTAATCCACAAAAAAGAATATGTCATTCAATAGTAATGGAACAAGCCACCCAGTTAATTAACAACAAACAGGAGATATTGCTCTGGAAGTTTTTCAGGAGAGAAAGTTCCTCTGGTGCTTTCCTTCCAAAGCAAGAAACCAACATCCCTTGGGTAAATAAAACTTTACTTTTTTTCTTTTATTTTTGAGATTATAAATACATCATTTCTCCCTTCATTTTTCTATCCTCCAAACCCTGCCATACACCTCTCCTTGATCTCTTTGAAATTCATGATTTTTTCATTAACTATTGTTCCATGAATATATTTATACATATATTCATAAATACAGCCTTATCCGTCTATATAATGCTACCATACGTACATTTTAGAGGTGTTCATTTGGTCAGGCAACGTTGCAGAAGAGGGGACAAAATGATTGAAAGAGTCAGAGAACCAGAGACTTTGCTGTGAGATTGTGCCTCCTAGTAATGCCAGAAGCTACCCACCTAAACTCTCATCAACATGACCACAGAAACACGAGCTGAACAAGAACAGACATGGTAAAGTACATGGGGGAAGCCTGTAAAGGATAAATTCTATCAAAGAATTACAGACAACTGGGAATGCTAAGCATGGGAGAAATATTCTTTCCCAGGGAAGAGCACACTTATTGGCTATCCAGTTGTTCGTATTTCTTAAATTTTACATGCCAGAACATAATGCATCCAAACATTAAAAGACAGAGAAACCAAGATGATGGTGGGGAAAAATTGTGACTCCTATATTCTTCATGGCCTCCATAAATTGATGGGAAATTTTCTGTGTATTTCTTCCACCTATGCATAACCTTGTAATATGAAAAATGTTTGTCTTCATAAATTATTCTATTCTTTTTTTTTTTTTTTGGTTTTTCGAGACAGGGTTTCTCTGTGGTTTTGGAGCCTGTCCTGGAACTAGCTCTTGTAGACCAGGCTGGTCTCGAACTCACAGAGATCCTCCTGCCTCTGCCTCCCGAGTGCTGGGATTAAAGGCGTGCACCACCACGGCCCGGCCAAATTATTCTATTCTTATAACAATCCTGAAGATATCATCTTCCCCATTTTGTAGCATCGAAATTCACATCCACCAGTGTCAAACATACACCTAACTAATGCCAATATGCCAGCATACATCTGATGACAAGGCATTCTCACACTTTAGATCACTGCCAACACGGGAATTATATCCATGGTGCTCTGCCATTCACTTCCCTGATGAGCCCGCCTTTTCCATGACTGGCATAGAACACTAGAGAACTTAACTATGGAAAAGGTTAACCTTTCCCTAAGCTCACTTTCTTCTTTCAGTGCCTGAACTTACATTCAGAGAAAATAGGGACAATAGATTTCATATTATACAGCTCTCTGAAGCACAAAACTATCAGCTGGATGCCTCCTCTCCTTGAGTCTAGGCTATAGACACAGAGTAAATACATATCCCTATGGTGAACTGCTCTCCATTGGAAACTGAATTGACCCTCTCTGTTTTATTTCAAACTAGCACCAAGTCTTATTTAGTTTGAATAGTTAAGGATACATGTTACATTACATTTTCAATTCTTCTTGGTTCATGGTGCATCAGTACATTTACCACGCCTTAAACACACTCTCAAATGCCACATGAATGAAAAATGGGCAAGCAAAATAACCACTATCACTACTACGAGCATTCCCCAGAAACCTATTATTTTGTATGGTTTATTTTCCTCTGTTTCACACAATAATGTGTCAAAACTCTGAATTTCATTGAGAGAGGAAGATGGATTGATTTTGTTAACTAGTGTCTGGGAGAAGACTTGAGCTGTCAGGAGCCAAGTGCCATTCTCCATCACCAAAAGAGCTAATCAGGGAAACACAGGCAGCTAATGTGGGCAGCAAGCACATCCATCTCAGGCTGGATCCCAGGCTGTTATTAGGTGTGACTAATCACATCTTCGTGATGCGTCTCAGTCTGTAATAACATGCCCCTCAGTGACATCAGTACTTACAGGAGATGGATGCCACATGATCTATGTAGAACACAGCACCAGTTTGCAATGCCTCTAGCCTGTTTCCCCATCACAGCACATCTGCCACCACAAGTCTTTATAGGAAATTTCAGGGATACAGCATTTGCCTGGGGCTATCCACTGGTGCCGGAAAGCTGACCAGTGGCCATAACCTCAGAGAGAACGATTCTCCCTCCTCCCTTAACAACCAGCTGCCAAATTCGTATGTGTTGGGGCCTGGAGAGCACCTCCCTCATCTATGCAGCACTTTTGGTTGGTTTGTTCTTCTGTGGTTCCTGAGACAGCATTGAGTACTGTATGCACTCTGCATGCATGTCCATAAACTCTGGTTTTCTGCTCAGTTAACCTCCGATGGGTAATTAGAAGAGAAATAGCAAACAGACAACAGTCAGAAGTGCAGTTTCACCCCTGACTTAGACCCTGTGTCTTTAGTTCCATGGGAAAGAATCGCCTGCCTTCATACTAGGAAGCTGAACTCCTTAGGGTCACTTTTTACTTTAAAATTTCATGGTATAAAAAATGCCCTTCAAAAGCACTCTTGGTGCACCATCTCTTCTAAACTACAAATTGGTTAAGAGGCAAGAGCAGGGTATATATTTTTAAGACATTTCTAAGTTTTAAATCTTAACACATAACTTAGAGCATTTAAAATTTTAAAGAGCAAGTGTTTCTAAGCATGCGAAATGACAGAAAAGACCAATAAAATGTGTTTCTCAAGAGCACAAGGTGAAGGTTCCTACCCCACTTCCAGGACAGGGTATTTATTTGCTTGGGAAACTAGAATTTACTCATAATATTCTGGTTACTAAAACAAAAATAAAACAATGGGCTGTATTTCCATTGTCTAATTTGCAAAAAGAATACATAGTAGGGATTTTTGTAGAAAGAATAATTTCATGTAAACAAGTATTGCTAGTTTAATTGTTACTTTGAAGTTAATTGAAATATATTAACACTGTACTGTCATATACTAGAGAAATGCTATCTGATAAAAGCCATTTTGCATGAGCTCTTTGTGTGTCTGTCTGTTGGGACACTGAGGCACTCAGTAAACCTGGGTGATGCTCTTTTGTCTCCCTGTGGTGCTGAAAAGTTGGCCTACCCTTTCCTTTAATCAGTGTTTCTGATTTTATTTTTCAGAATGAAAAGTCCCCAGGGCGATCTGCAAGTCGATCAAGTAACATATCAAAAGTAGGTGAAAGCTCTCCGTGTTCTTGTTTATTGATTTCTGCCTTTCATGAGTTCAATGAATATTGATAACATTTAGCCTATAATTGTTATGTATGAGAAACATTCAACTACGATTTGCTAATGATTTCAACTATTTCATACTTTTACTGCTGGAAACATCATACTTTCATGCCAACAGCTGTGTTGTTTTCTGCTTTGCTGTCGATACAGAAGGTAATTTTCTACTTTTGGAGTGTACTGGGAACCGTGACTCCTTGTCCCTCCACTTCAAACACCGTAGGGACAACACACACTCACATCACAGCTATTAGCAATCATGGCACTGTGCCCGTGAATTTAAAATGTCAGGATTTAGTGTCAACTTCACTGAGACATATACATTTTTATCTAGATAACTTTTAGAAATCAGTTTTAAAAAAACTTTAATTTGACCACATTATAAATACAGAATCAATGTATACAAATCAAAATACTCCATAAGACAGAAAAGTATTTTTTTATTATGAATCTGTACAAATACTCTAGAAATTTTACTAATATGAAAAGAATTCATGGACTGTTCTTTAATATGGGGTGCCATGTGATGGACAGACATGGGGTATCATGTGATGGGTAAATATGGGGTACCATGTGATATGCAGATATGGGGTACCATGTCATTGCAGACATGGTTCTTGGGAAGTAAAATATAATATACTGCTATTTTTCTTTTTGATATAACAGTTTAGTTTTAAAAACTACAAACTATATTTATATTAAAAATTGAAATGAATAAAATGGGATCCAAAATAGCAAGGTAAGAGATAGTCAACACATCTTTCCACCTCACCGTTTCTGATTGCAGCAAGCTTGACAGTAACAGCCCTTCCAAGGCTGCACTGAGAAGTAATCATAACTATGGTTTAACCTTTGCTCTGCAAAAGCCAAACCACGAGTGTTGGCTCCCACCTGTACCTCCAGCACAGGGGAGGCTGAGGCAGGAGACTTGTCATGAGTTTGAGGACCACACAGTGACATTTTATCTCAATAAAGCAAACACTACAATAGTGGCCTAAAGTGTCTTCTGCTACGGCACTCCTGTGTGAGGCTGACCAGGCTGGAATGCGGTGCCGTTCTGAGCAGTCTCTGGAGCAGTGTCTGGACATTAATACCAAAAGCTCTGCTTTGTCTGGATATTGTCGAGAATCTGCTGCAGTTCCTCATCTTCAGAAATGCCCTTCCAGGCTTGGAATCAGAGCTTTGGATGTCTCTGCCGTCTCTGGGCATATAGACTGGCTAAACTGACCAACAATACAAACCTACGTAGCCTTTTCCGGGAACCAAGCTAGGAACACTGGCTGTGGTCTGTCTCTTTTTGAAGTGACTGAACCGGACTGTAGAGTTTAGGGTTTTCACGAAAACCTCTGAAAGTTTCTGTTCTTCTTCTGCACTCTCATTATGTTGCTTTCGATGCTCCAGAAGCACGTGAACTTCAGAATTTAGGAGTGTCTGTTTCAAACTCTGAGGAAAGACGAGCTACTTCTTCTACGTCGCCAGTCCACAGATCACTGACGCTTAAGGAGGTAGCAATTTCCTAAAATAGAAACTCTGATTTTCCAAGACACTGGCAGGAGCAAGAAGGCCAGGGCCCTTCAACATCCCCAGCGTTCACTCTGCGTTAGTAATTTTCAGTGAGTTTTTCATGGGGAAATCTAGAAATTAGTGACTCTATGCCAATCCCAGCTTCCCATTTAGAGAAACTCTGCTTTCTTCTTAGTTTCCAGAAGCAAGTGACAGTTACTCACTGAGAAGTAGGAGCTCCAGAATGTTGCCGTTCTCTTCAGCTGGTTTCCTAACACAAACGGTAGATGACTGTGCACACGTACTGGGTGCTTCCACATCTTGAACACACACATTTTTGCTCGTTTCTCTGTATGGAGGACCTCTGTGTTGCAATGCCACTGCCTAGCTAGGATCCCTGGGTAGCATCCTTGGAAAGCTGATCCAGAACACAAGCTCTCATATGCTTGCTTACAGTACATGCAGGACTCAAAGCTGAGGGAGCCGGAGAGAACTACACAGAGGCCTGTGTTGGTGGGTTGATGCTCTGAGTGATAGGTAGACAATTTGGTGAATGACCTTGAGGGGTATTTCTGGAGCAGACAGCTCTCTCACTGTGGTGTTATCCCCCTCTTCCTGCCCCACCAGAAATCTAAAAGCAATGGACATTCCCAGTCATTGACTTCAGACTCCAAAATTGTGATCCAGAACAATCTTTCCTCTTGAAAACAGTATTGCCACTGGTATTTGTTACAGTAATCAAAATTTGATGGAGCATCACTAAACGTTTTGAATTACATTCAAATCAGAGTTCCTCCAGAGATATTTGAGAAGGGATGAGCCCTTCTTGTTGAGAATACTTCAGAAGGTGGGATCTTAAATTAAAGTCTGTTAAATTTTGTTGTTTCCTAAGGCAATCGCCTAAACTCCCTAAGACATTTACTCCCCCACAACAAAACTAGCACCTGAAGGATTCCTTCTTTTAGTTTTATATTAGCATATCATCTTCTAAATGCCTGTCATCCAAGTCTCATAGGAGAAAGCCCACCCAGAGCTCTGAAACAGTGGCTTCTTTCTGAACAGGTTACTCTTAGTCACGGGACTGGCAGCTCTGTTACCACCCCAAACTGTCACCATCAAGGAGCTCAAGTCTATCCTTTCCAAACTACTGTTTGAGAAGTGCAGTGTGTTCACAGTTTTCAGCCCTTTAGCTAACTCCCAAGTGTGTGCCTTTCCATCTCTGACTTCTTAAAGATTCTCTGACATTCTGTTTGGAGAGGAATGAAAATCTTTTCTCTGTTTCCTTAGTTATGACACAGAAAAGTTTCAGCTACCAAACCCTGGTAGATTTCCAGGAACCTAAATCTCTGAACCCAATACAACTCTCCCTGTATTTGTGTCAGAATGATAATCAAAAATGATAAATATGTTACTGGGTCCTCAATACTCTTGTGAATTACTAAATGATAAATTCTTCGGTGAGCATGTGGACTACTGGGTAGGAAATGACAGAACCTATAAATATTGGAATCCTTTCATTTTCAGGTGTTAGAGAAGGAAATGTCAAAAGTGGAACAAAACATTTATCCTTTAAGATTGACAAGATAATTTTATGTAAAACTACTATGGTTTTCAAGGGTATGAGACTCAGTATAATGGAGTCATAAAAACACGGAGAGCGGAGCACCTGCTAAGAAGAGTTATTGATTTCCTTTATTGCCTTATTTATAAAGGGGGAAAGAATATATTCTGTTCACATGTGCATATATGTGTTTGTGTGTGCATTTATGTGTAAGTTTCTTGAAAACGGTTAAGCCATGTGTAAGTATCAGCTACTTCAGCTGTAGAGCGCCAAAGACTTAGGCCTCAATGGCAGCATCATATCACTGAGGCATCTCTCTTTGCATAAATGAATTTGAGACTATAATGTATGCATTCTTTTTTTTAGTTAAACCAGAATAAATGAGACAGTGATAAGGTTAAGAGAGACATTAGAAAATACTGCATAGTCCTGTTATCTTAAATGTTTTCAATTAAAGTATAATAAATGCTTTTAGACCAGCATTTGTGTGACTCACGCTGGCTTCTTCTTTACCTTTTTCTGGTTTGTGCTAAACTATAACCATTGATATAAGACTCTTTCAGGATGTGGTAATAGAATAGCACAACTTCCCCTGCATCCATAGGTCTGCTCTTCTACCTGAGTCTTCTTATTCCTTACTAAATGAGCAGACCTTCCAATCAACAGTTCTTACTGTGTCTTTTTCTTGTTTTCTGATGGAACAATGGAGCAATTAAAATGTATACTGGATCTTTAGTGAGCTCAAAGGACAGAACTGAGAAAAAATATATGATATCACTGTGCACCTGAGCATAAAATATGTGTGCAATATATGTGCACACACATAGAATGTACGCAATGTGCACACTCTGTATAGATATGTATGTATACACGATACATATATAAGATATGCACTCTGCAACAGCATGGGCCTAAAATAGTTAACAGACATGAAAATTCAAAAGACCGCTGGCAGGTTTGGTGGCTGTTGGCTTCTAAACACTTGGACTTGAGAGTTAGTGTGCACATGATTTCACCAGTTCATTGGGCTGGAGCTGCAAACCATGTGTTTTATCATAAGCACATGCTTTCTTTGAGGGAGGCTGAACTATGCATGAGTGAGGCAAATGAATGACCAGAGGACCAGCCCCAGGAAAACTCTAGACCAGGAGTCTCTAGTGACTTTTCCTGAAAGACAAAATTGCAGAGGTGCCAGTATCACCTCTGTTTCAGGGATAAAATATTAATTGAAGAACTGTGTTCTATTTTTGTTGGGAGCTTGCCACTGGTTCCTGTGAACCTGAGCCCATGTACATTATTCTCTGCTTATTTTCTTTTAAATCTTTCACTGTAATAAATCAAAGCTGGGATATGATTACAATTCTCAAGACTGAGGTCCCTTAGATCTCAAACAGTGAGCACGGTCAAAGGGACCTCAAACGCATTGCTCTGCAAGGAAGTGCAGAGGGAATGAGGGGTAGCAAAGATTATCTCTGTTTAATTGCAGTAGGATAGTTCAGAGGGAGTTTCTTAGGAGAGTGGTACCTAAACAAGGACTTCAATGTGTGACCTGGTCAGCTGTTGGGGAACAGGTGTAAGGAAATGTAAGTACAAAACTTTGGAAGGGAGGAAACAGATTATAAAGAAGGTGAGAAAAGAGCCAAGGAGCTACTATGAAAAACTTTCAATATAATAGGTGCGTTCTCTTTAGTTTGGTTGGACAGGTGTCGTCTGGCTTGGAAAATGGAAAATGAAATTAGAGTTCAGCAAGGTTCTCAAACCTCTATTCTGTCTTAAAGAATGCGGATGACTGTGAACATTATATTTGCCACTTTAGAACTGTACAATAAAAACATATTTCAGATTTCCTGATGCAAATATGAAAAATTTCAGTGTGGTA